CAGTGTCAATAAGTTGTCTAGCAAAGATATGATGAGAAGAGATACACTCATCAGCTGGAGGTTGTTATCTGGATATGATATCATATCCTCCTAGCTGTTAGTAGAAGACAGTAGAATTTAGCAACCTTTAATCTCACTCGCGACGGTGTTGTTAAATGTATATGTGCTTCGATTTGTTGTAGGAAAGACATGGATCACTACATTTACAGAATGCAGCAAGGAAAGCGAGGGACACAAGCATCTGGAAAACAGAAGTCAAAGGTGCAATTTACAGCTCCAAATCGAAAATTTATGTAACTTTATCCCTCCCCGATCACGCTGGATTCCATCGGGATCTAGCTTGGATACCTTTCAGTTCAAGCCGGTTTACGTGTACGGTTACAATTGCAAAAAGAAAAAACAAACAAACAAAAAAAACAAAAAATAAATAAATAAAACAGAACAGAATATTTGTTTGTAGAGGTGAGCAAGATTCCTCTTTTTTTTCTTGACAGCTGATAAGGACATCTACTCCCAATAAACAGTTAAAAAGAAGCAATTTCCCTGTAATAGCCGGGTTAGACTTGTTTGAAGTACATCCTGCATCAGATCAAGAATCCGACGACGGATCCCAAGACGAGTACTTCTCCGACGAATAACAGACGAACGCACAGTGACAGTTACATACAGACGACTGTCGTCTTGAGTCGAGGAAGTTACAGTGCTTGCTCGTGGGTGCCATAGACAACTATCTAAAAAAACGTGATATCGAAAGCAGTTTTATGCCGTAGTTATAAAGAAGAACAAGAGAGCCATCTTAGTTAAAGTAATTGAGCTGAAATGACCTTTCAACTCCTAAAACCCGATTCTTATCTACCCCTCGGCATATTTAGTGCTACAGTAGTTTGTTGTTGTTGTACCATGAAAACTCCTTCAAGATTTTACATTAGTCTCTTCTAATCTCGTCGTTTTTCTAATCATGTTTTTACATTGTAAGAAAAAGTTACATTTTACATGAGTCATGTCTTAGAGTTACGGATCGTGTTACTCAAAACCAAGTTATGAAGGAAAACAATTCATCGCTGAGAAGATTTAGAATTATTACTGCCTAAATCATGTCGCTAAAGATGCAGGTTCTAGTGACGCTTCGGATTATTCTTAAAAGGTTTTAAACTAACTAAGTTGGAGTACATTCTATTTAAAATCCCAGACACTTAAGTTGGGACACTTGCAGGGCCAACTCCTTGTTTGCCGCCGAAATACTGAGTACAAAAAGGAGGGGATCTGATCATGTCTGAGAGTATAGTTCATTTATTCCAAGAGCAACGGTTGAATAAACTCATTTAACTACTACCATGATGTTAGTGTTGGTGTCAAGAAAAAGTTTGATGCAGACGTCCCTCTAACCGTAAGCCTTTATCAGGACTTATCGTAATCGTGCAGGATGTATATTGAAATACTTAACCGGTCAGAGGCACGTGTGTTGCTCTTGATTCAGTTTATTCAAATCGAAGTGAACTTATGAGAGATTTGGCGCGAATCTATATCAGGTGAATGCGTTCAACAACTGTTTAAATTGCGCGGGGCAACGTTCTGGAAAGTGGGTTTTTATGAACATTTACAGAAGTGATAATTAAAGATGTTGATAGTCATTAACCCCTAGTTAACTTGTTGCTTTTACTGTGTAGTGGAATTCACCTTTCTAAACATTGCCGAAGGTGAGACTTGTGCGCCTGTCACATGTCAGAAATTTTGGGGGTTTTTTTGTGAGGCCTTCAAAAACCTATCTAATTTTTTTCAAATGGGTGACGTGAAGTCCATACCAGTTTTCTTCGTTGGACATAAGACGTTAAAGGTAGCACATTTCGAAGACAATGCAAACGTTTTAATACATTCAAAGGAGCGATACACTGTAACAGAGGGAAAATACAGCTTCCCTGCCATATCTGGTATTTAAGAAAAACATTTATATAGCGCTAAAAACTATGTACGTATTCAAAAGCACTTGACATTACATTATGGATTATAAACTAGTACTAAACGCTTCCCTAAACAGAAATGTAGAAAGTTGTTTCTTAAAAGTAGCCAGGGTGCTACAGGACCTGATTCGTAACGGCTACGAGTCAAATGTGGCAGGCAAAAGTAGCATCAACAAAGGCACGATCCCTTGGTGTAAAGCGGTGGACCCGTGGAGCGAACAGGAGCGATTGAGTTGACAGGAAAAGAGCATAGTTTAGATCACTAATAAAATTGTTTTGTTTGCTTGTGGAATTCTTAGCGAACAGGAATCAGTATACAGTGAATTAACTTACGTAAGCAAGAGCTTTGGGTCTCGTATTCCCGTAATTAAGTTCTCACCAATTTACAGCGGCAAGAAATCTGTGGCCAGTCAATTAAGTCAGAAGACAAACAGCTTTAACACAGTTGAAGAGGAGGCTTCATCTTGTTTGTTCAGCTGATCTCAAATGGATAAAATGCGAAATAGTCACAGAGCAGACCTCCCGTTTCCCTCTGTGAAGAAGAACATTAAAATGTAGTCGATTAACGACAGTATCTTGATGAAAACTTTCTACATGTCACTATTTCAGAGGTTAACGAAAAAAGTTTGCTTCCGAGCTAATACTGATATATAGTGAATACATGGGCGCGCCTAGATATGGAATATCTCTCCGAGTTGAACACGAGAAGAGAATCGCAAGGTGCATTGGCGCTAAGGCTCAAGATGGAAAAATGCGTTGAAACAATACAAAAACAAACAATGGGCGTAATTTTCAATATGCAAAATTCTCAATCATTGACTTGGTCCTTACCGATAGAAGAACTCTCTCAGGTACACGGCCAAAATCGGCCTGTGGCATATCTACCAGTTGTCCATTTTAGTTCTCAGCCTTGAGAAGTGCCATTACCAAAGCCAACGAATACGTAACTATCGGTTTTACTTTCCGTATTTTGGTTTTTTCCCCCTTCTAGGAAAGTTTAAACGTCACTCACATTTCTCAGTGTTTAAGCAGCCATATTCCAAAAGACAAATTCCGAGAAATGACCTTGAATTGAGAATAGTTGTAGTTTAAATCAGCCAATCACATCCAAAATTATAGTTTAAATCAACCAATCATAACCATTTAACAATTTACGCCAGCCTTTTGATGCAAATTTTCCCATTCTTTCATAACTTGACTTGTCTTCTTTTCTCGGCAATGGTAATTTTTATGATTAATTGGTGATAAGACCGGTCTGTAATCATACGCCTGATAAACAAATCGGACTCCCGCTGCGCAGACGTCCGATATTGTTATCACTCGTATGACCGAATTGGACTCCACTCAGTCCTGTTACCATAAAAAATTCAAACTTGTTATCGCTCAACAACAAAAATTTTGGCTTACTACTAAAACGGAAGAACTTTTATCTTTGTTTTGCCTGTTGGGTATTGCCAACAGACCTGCTTTTATCTTAGTTGATTAACAGGGGTTCGTCATTAAGTTGTAGCCAATTTTGATGGCTGCTAAAAAATCGGGTAGACAATTAGAGTATCGTGACAGGTGTTTCTATTTTCAGAGCTGAACTTCCTTGTTAAACACCACAGTTTATATCGTAAGAAGGTTTTTCCCTATTTGACTTTCGTTTCAAAGTTACGGCCTTTACAGTAGATGGAAACGTCCGACAGCATGTGTGAGAGTACAGCTAAAAAACTAGTAATAAAAAACTAATTCGTTCTGAACTAGTCACCATCTGTGAAGGATAAAACTAACCTCAAGAAAGAAAATGATGACCAGCGCCTGGAGATCTGGATCTTGGAATCATCAAAGATTTGAATTGGAAAGGGGAAGGCGAAACGGTGGGTAACAAGGTAAAGTAGAAAAAAGCTCAGACGAGGAAAACAGGAAATGTAGTGAACAGACTCGAAGAGTTGTATTTAAGGAAGAGATTTAGTTTTTAGCAGCAAGTTTTTTTCAGGAGTAATAATAAGAGGTAGTCAGATATAAATCTAGCCTAGACTTTCATCTTAGACTCATCAGTTGACCCCTCGTTGAGAATTATGTAATACTGAGGACAACGAAGAACACAACTTGGGTAAGGTAGTCCATTTTATTGAATTGTGTTGTAATGTAAATACATTTACTCTTCAAAGCATAATCAATTCTTCTCATTTCAATATTTTGCACAAAATTTTGCGATAAACCTGACCATTTGAATACAGCGGAGCTACATGTTTGTTATCTTAACTTTTAATGTGATATTAGACAGAAACAGCAGATTTTTAGTCTTCAATTAGGATTTCGGCGACTATGCAAGCCTTGGACATCCCCTTTTACCAAAGTAATATTTTATTATTGGTTTCACTCACTGACGAAAGTTCTTCTTCATTGTATCAAGATGTATCCTATGGCTTTGATTTTACTGTTTCCGTTATCTGGACTACAGCTGGCCTCGTTACCAAACGTGTTGCACTCGGCAATAGCCTCTCCTGTGCCAAACTCCTATTATAGCTTCGCGATGTAAAGAAACTTAGGTTACTGCTGAAGAACGTTGCTGCAAAACTGCTGAGAATTCCAGATACGATCGTATCACTCCCCTTCAGTACCAACTCAACTAGCTGCCTGTCAAACAGCTTTTATACCACGGACAATCTGTTTTGGAATATAAGTGAATAAACAACCTTGCATGCATATATATATATATATATATACGGTGTATATTATAAATATCTGCGATAATTTTCGCAAAAGATCTATCATCTATCGCCTTGTTACTCGCTGAAGCGTGAAACCTTACAAATATCACTGTTTAACATGGCTGCTGGTTAACGAACGTTTATTTACGGACTGGTAACATCTGGATCAGCCTTAAGAACAATTTAAAAGCTTGCTACTCGGTCATTAAAGAGACAGTCTCTTTTTAATCAGCAATTCTATTGTACTATTTCTTCTTTTAGTTGCATATAAATAGCGAGAAGATACTACCATATAAATTATCTATAGGAGGAATATAGGAGCTGCTTCCTTTTGAGAGTATCGGTGTTACTGCACTAGGATGTACCCCATGGCCGGAGTACGCCTGTTTCCATTATCTCCTCCCACATATGCCACATTACCACACGCCACGGCGTCTTCAAAATATCCCCCTGTACCGAACCCTATCCTTGAGTCACAGGTCTTACAATCATTCTCCTGGTTAGCAACGATGCCAATTCTTGCTTCAGAATGGTAAACATCAATACGGTTAACATCAACAGTATTGAATCCTTCCCTGTTACAATTTAACTGTAAGGAGGCAATTGAACCAATCAGGTTTTTCCACGTTTCTCGACCAAGTGAGATGGCACGGTATTGACCGTCAGCGATCAGTGAGTACAGAGAGTCGGCCTGCTTGTTAATGACAGTGAACCTGAGATGTTGTCCGATCTTCATACCGAGGCAGATCTTGGAGAAGGATGTGTTCCAGTAAGTCGATAACTTTGTCTCCCGTGAATCAAACCCAGACTCCCCTCCGGGGAGGTTGTATTCAATTTTATTGCTCCAGTACGGGCTGTTGTAATGAAAGGTGCCCTTTTAAATCAAAATAATTTCATAGCTGTAAATGCAGTTCAATTTCATGTAACGATCTTTCACCCAAGCTTAGCCCGTTTTGGGCTCTAAATCAAATTAATGGTATTAAAACAGACAGTGACAACTGGATGACAATCATTTATTTCTATAAGTTAAACACGAGCAATTTCAACTCACGAGCGTGAGCTTATCCAAAGCCATCGTCAAGAAATATTCCGGCATTTCTAAATTTGCATCTATCCAATTTCCTTGCCCGATTCAGGTAAACATTTCTTGATTGTTGGAAACTATTTAGATGCGTACCTCATTAGTATGGTGGCGCATTTTTCCACATGAACAGACTTCCCTGCTGGTTATGAGGCCTGTCTATCAGCTAAATCAACAAGAATCTTACCTTAGTGCCGTCAATCTTCATGACCGGTGTCCATCCTCCATTTCCACATCCAAAATCTCCCATGTGGCAGAGAACGGAGATTGCTTTGGAGTCCAGGCGGAGGGTTACCAGTTCACTCACATTAGAGCTATTTACAAGGGATCAAAAGGAGGAAGCTGATTGCATATAGGTTTTTATGATTATTCTAATTCCAAGAATCAGAAATGTATTGGTACGTCTGCTTTATAATCTAAAATATTTTTGCATAAGTACAAGTGTATATGCCTTCTCCCTTTCTGCCACAATAACATTGAAAGTATGTCTCTCCCTTAGGACAATCCTGAAGGGAACTGGCGAGGGATTGGAGGGAAGGAGCATGGATATAACTTCATTTCTCACCGTTGATATTTGCTTAAGTGGATCATACTACGTTGATTCTCTTAGTAAGGCTTGTAACTTACCTATTTAAGTCATAGAGCTCCTTGCAGGACGTAATAGCTAGAAGATAGAAGGTAAGTGTTTCGGATTTATTGGCAGGAAATTTACCAGGTTTTTAAGCTAAAATGAAATAGTGACAATGTTTTGAAGGCCCGACCAAGAAAATGAAAAAAAAAAGAAAGTTACCTTATTCTGTCGAATCTTCTAACTTTAATCATTACGTTTTTACGATGATTCCTCGTCACTTGGTTAATTTGAAATAATTACGTACTATAAGATTAATTCAACAAATAATTACATGGAGGGTATTAACTATCAAGTCTGGACTAAGGAGCAAGCAGGGCAGAACTAAGGAGCAAGCAGGGCACAGCAAAAATAAAAGAATCACGTGAGGATGAAAGAAAAGTCTTTCCAGAACAACTTTTAGGAAAAAGTTTTTGACTGAATAACTCGAATATAATCACATATTACCTTTCTCGCAAAATTCTCCCAGGAAACCTTGTTCACAGAGACATTGGCAAGTAGTGTATTTATAATTCGGGATGCAGGTTCCTCCGTTTTGACATGGTGAAGAAGAACAAGGAGACTAAAATAAGAAAAACAATAAAAATACTAATAAATGTTTGAACAGCAATTTTGATAAATGAATCCGATATCTCTATTTCTGAATGATAAACCGGCGATCAGCACTGCAAGAACTTAGAGGGTAAAAACTTGTTTTAATCGCTCCTAAGAGTACGTTTGTCACTAGATACATCTAGAATTCTTGGGAGTATTGAAACTAAGCGGAGGACTATGTGATCCGCGTGTCTCGAGCTTTGGGCAGTTTCTTGTCTTTAGTTTGAGTTTTGATTGGCTCTTTAAGGTCAAGTCTTTTCCTTCGTCCTGATTAGCCATTGTGTTTATGATGATTTTGGTTTTGCGTCAACCAAAGAAAAACAGCGCCAATCTGTAAAAGCTCAAATTTTAATGAAACTCACTGTGTAGAAGTCCTTACCAGAATAGACAAATGATGTGAACTCGTGTTTTCTTTGTAGTTCTCAGCGTCTCTGTACTTATCAGAGGACAACAATTCACACCAAAACCTTCCATCTGCTTCTTTGGAGGCAGCCATGTTTATTGAAAGGCACAATGTATTTCTTACACATTGAAATAGGCAATCCAACTGGTTGTACAAAGTAAACATTCCAACTCGAGCTACGTTCAGAAAATGGAGTTCATCTTTTGAAAACAGACGCTGTTTAAATGTCTTGTCAGAAGGGAACCAATCTTCTTCCAGTGCGTTTATTTCTAGAATGAGAGCAATGAATTAGATATTTAAATTATTAATAATAACTTACTCTTTGCTGGTCCAATTTCTCTGGATTTACTCGTCTTGCCATCTACTCAAGCCACTGATGTAGCGTTTTAGTAGTTACGCTGGATGGGATAAAGTAATGTAAACAATGTTTTCAACAAGTCGAGCAATATATAATTGATAGCGTTTTGCAAACGTTAATTATCTCTTGAGCGAATTCTGATGACATAGACCTGTTTTAATTCCGATACACAACTATCATTTATGATCGAATTCTTTTTAAGCTTTACTTTAGTAGCTACCATAAAGGCCAAGAAGTTCTTCAACTGCTTTCTTAAGTACATAAATGGTTAAATGTACGCATATTTAAGACCCATGTTAGGCTCTGGCTAATTGCCCGGCAGGTTTAGTTGTTACGCGGCAATTGGAAATCTTACATTAATATCACCGACTTTCGGAACTGAAAATGTCTTTCAAACTTCTTGAAAGTGCCAGATTTTTATATAAATTACCCAGCAATTTTGAAAATTACGCTGATTTTCTTTCTTTCTTCTTATTGTCATTTTCCGTTTTGTGTCCATACAAAGAACAGGTGTAAAAAACCAATCGCCACCAGGTGAAGGATTTCATTTGCGAATTAATCGAGCAATGCACCTTAGTACACTCAAAGTAAATTTTCCCAACGAAAAACTTTTTACGAGCCACCAGAGATATTTCCATTTGATCCATAAAAATATCTGGTTTAGAAGGGATTATGTTTATTTATCGAATTTAAATAATTACCCGACAGCGTCTGGCGAGTTCAAAGTGCACTAATACTTTCTCTGTTGCTCAACACTAAATGGTTCCGATGGTAAAGGCTTAATGCCTTTTTAAAGTAAAAATGTTTAAGTAAAATTTAGTCCATAGTAAATCTTAAGAGATTTGTGCGAAGAACGGATTCAGTTTTGTTCTTTTGTAGGTGTACTTGAAACAAATTTGCATCTCCAAAGCTTGAACAGTGGGCCTAATGACAAGAATTAACGGAAATGCAAGCTGTTCTAACAGCTTTTTTTCCGCAAGTTGAATTAAAGTTTCATTTGCGAAAATTTGAAAATATAATTTTAATTTTACACCTGACGGTCTTAAAAAGAGAACGAGATTGAGAAGGATATGAATTATTTGAGGAGAAAATGCTGTACGTCAAAAAAATTAACGAGTACATTTAGGTTTAAAGCAGGTGCCCGATGGAAATACGTGGAATGAGGCAAATATACTCGACATGTACCCTTCTTCATTTCAACTTAAAGCATTATACATTCACTTTAATATTATTCGTATAAATTCTAAACTATATCTTAACTTCAACCGACCGCATCACAATAAAAATATCTTTATTGTTAAACAAAATAGTGTGCTGATCCCCTTATATGAGTAAATAGGCCTGAACAACGATAATACTTTGCTAAACTGAAATTTTAATTAGGTACACCTTGCAGAAGCGAAAAAAACTTCATTTTTAAGTCTTTTGCTTCAACATACGTTTTGGCGTGCCCATCTATATTTCGAAATATGTTGATTGTTGGTAGCGCAATACGAAAACCTTGAAAGTAAATAGCGAAAAAAAATTCATTGTTAAGTCTTTTGCTTCAACATACGTTTTGGCGTGCCCATCTATATTTCGAGATATGTTGATTGTTGGTAGCGCAATACGAAAACCTTGAAAGTAAATAGTGAAAATGCTTACCAGCAGAACATTGGGCGTATGTGAGGATCGACGAAAGGAAAACCAAAATGAAATGGCGCTTAAAATCAGCAGACATGACGGATGGTTAACGAGAGCGCTAAATGATAAATGATCGGGGGGGGGGGG